ATCCCTGCTGACGAGAGAGTACATATTCAAATATTTCTCCTGTACGAAATGTACCAATTAATGGGGAAGACGTAAAACAGAATGTATAAAAATGTAGAAAATACGTTGAATAAATTCGAAATTTTTTTAAATGAAAATACATTTGATATATTTGATGAAAGAAACATTTCTGTGACGATCAGCGACGGAGGCTTCCTTTGACAATTATTGTACAATTCAATTGACTCTCTATGCGTAATTTAGAATTATCACAGATGCGAAGAGCAATCGTCAGTAATGCCATATTAATTAGTCAATATTATCTCTGATAGGTAGCACGATCTGATAGATTAACGAAATCCTGCTTCTATCTCCGACAATGCCTGCGTTTTAGTTATCAGTATGCTAAACAATGCCTTTAATGTGCATTTATTACTCCTGCTACAGCAGAATATTAGCCCAAAGAACATTTTTAACGTTCGTATGTATTGCGATTATTGATTAAATAATCTACGTTAATGATTTAATATGATTAGAAGACTAATATTTCTACAATCAAAGCAAATGACTAATATCGATAAAACCAAAAGATTTGACGTCGAAATATCTGGAGACAGATAATTATTAAGTAACTGGAATATTTATTACACGTACAATCTAAGATAATATTATTCGTGTGCAATATATCCATTATAAATAAAAAAAGGAATAAAATTTTCTTTACAAAGGGAAACGTTTTGTTTATCGTTAACTTTTTGGAAAAGTTCTTTTTGCAAATATCATTATTTATCGAGAATTACTCGAGATGCGAGAGACTCTCAGAAATCAGCAAAATAAAAAGGCTGCTCCTCTAAAGGGATGCAGCGCACGAGAAGAGAATTTGTGCGCCAAGCGCGGCGGGAGATCAAGTTACGGTGAATTTCCCTCCTCCATTATACGAGCGATAATTCCGGAAGTTCTATACGTTCTACCCGGGTCATCCAAGCCCATCGATATTCGAGCCGCGTCTTGGGCGGCCACAAATATCGACAGGTAGGGAGATAACGCGAGCACACACCTCTGCCCCATTGTTCTTTGCGGCGCGCGAGCCTCTAATTACGACGCCGGGCTTCGCTCTCTCGGCGTATCGCTTGATTTGCTCGGGCCACGGACCGATGGCGGCGTTACGTTAATTACACGCGGACAGGTACACGGTTTTGCCGGACACGTCAATGCTTCATTAAGCCGTACCTCGGATCCCTCGGCTGCCGCGCGTATTCCGATGAAGTCCAAGTTTCGTCGGCGATTAACGCCCACCGCACGGCTCAACTTGCCAAACTACGTCGTCGCGAAAATATATTTCGCATTCAACGAGCGCGCGTAGTAATGCGAGTTTTCATGCATATCCGAGAATCATGCATGTCGAAATCGACAACACACACGTCGCGTTTAACAATACGTATAACTTTCCACGAGAACGTGGAATTCGATAATTATCGGGAAAAATGTGATTTTATGAGCCAAAGACGATCTAACTTGCTTTATTTTATAGAAAAGTTAGACAAATAATCTATGTGATGCGTTAAAAGAATTTAAACATTTAAACATGATGATACAGCAGTATTCGATAGACAAAAAATCACGCAATAAAAAGATATATCCAGAATTATGCGAAATATTAATTATAATTTATTTACCTTAATAGAAATGCAAAGTAGACTCAAGATTAATTTATGTTTTAATAATATTTATAATGAAGTAAATATATCAAGATATTTTTAATGATATTAATTTGTGCATATATTTTTTACAATATTTTAAAATTATTTTTATATTATTATATTTTTTATCATTATATCTTAAAATCTGCTATACCAGGCTTGTCCAAATCGGTCGACCGGTGTGATTCTTAATTTAAAAATATGCAATGAAATGTTTCATTTCTATTTTGGTTTTGCATATTTGTGAGGCAGCTTCCTCTTATTTAAACGTGACTAAAATTGTCTCACGTAATTTGACACATGTAGAAAATTCGATGACACAAACTCTTATACATTATTCATCCAATTTTCAACTTTTAATAGATGAAGTCAGGTGCCATATCTTATTAATAATGGAAAATAGTACGAAACTATTTTTGCAAATTTAAAAGAAATAAATTATACGATGCAATGTCAATCCTTATTTATTTTCTCTATAATGAGTTTCTTGTCTTTTAAACCTTAAAAAAAAAAAGAAAAAAAGTGCAATCGTCGATCATGAAAGTCGATCACACTTTAGTAAAGTTGGACAGGTCTACACAAACAACACAATCGATAAATAACGACTGTAGTGAATATAGAACGCAATCTTAGATCTTATATAGACTTCCGGTCGTGAATTTCTAATCCAGTTACAATTAACCGGATTATTTACAGTTGATACAATCTTATTTTATCTTGCATCGCATCGTGCAATATCGCATAAATTTAACGAAACGACGGAAGCATAACAAAGCACCACGGAGAACAACGAGTTAATATCATCGCGCTCTGGCACGACGATCTATTTTCCCATTCAGAATTGATATTTCTGAATTATACTCGGCGGCGGGCGAATTATCATTTACGATGTCGTCCTCGCCATGGCTGTAAACATGGAAATACCACCGTCGTAGATATTACGAACACGCTATGCACGCACGTACGCACGCACGTACGCACGCATGCTCACCGCACGCGTTCATGCAGCCAGATAACCACGAGCGAACATTCATTGACCTGCGGTCGAAAGTGCATCGCACGTTTCCGCTTCCGCGGCTTCGCCCTGCGTTGTTTGCGTCCTTCCTGATTAATATGCAGGTGATATAATCTTTATTAAAACGACACATCTCAAAGACATAATATATAAGTAAAGCATTTCGCATAGGAATTTGGTAAAGTTTGGAGAATCGCCTGCGTCAAAATTAATATTGCTTAATTATATTTTTTTTACGTTTACTAAAATAAAAGTCATACGGGAGATTCTAATTTAAATAATGGCAACAATTGAAGAGATGCTAAGACTTTATTCATATTTTTAATCGTGACGCTATAAATTATTCGATTCAAAAAGAAGAACAAATGGAATTGATGAATTTTTTTATTTAAAAAAAATAACAGCCTAGAACGCTTAAAAAAAATGAAAGAGAAGTAGGAAAATATAATATTAGAATTTGATGCTATGAAATTTTTCAGAAAAAAAATATCAATATATGCATAATGATTTATACAATATATACTTGTATTAATGAGATGTTTTGTGTTTTGAGAAAAAAAATAATTCGGCGATAGTTTTTAATTACAATATGTATGAAGAATTATTTTTCTGACGCAACATGGATATTACAGCAGATTTAGATTCACAGTTATGTATTCAAATCACTCGAATGGCTGCGAAAAGCATATGCGCGAGTTAATTAGAAATTACAGCTTTTTACGTGGGCACTCCGCGCAAGTTAATCCAAGGCAATAACACAAGGAGCTAATAATACCCTTGCCAGAAGCTGCACCGAGAGTAATACAGTTGGCTCGAATAGCAACTCTACTACTATACTAAAGAAAAGAAGATATAAACTTTTTCTTGATATAAATGATTCTCTCTTTTTCTTTTCCTCTCTCTTTTATCTCACTATATTTGATACGTGACTTTATAATGAAAAAAAAATTATATATATGTGTTGTTATTATATAAAAATTATTTGGAGAGACAGAGAAAGAGAGAGAGAGAGATGTAAAAAATTTGATGTAAAGTATGAAAAATGTTATAAAAAGAAAAAAAGAAGATATAAACTACGGTTACCATGCAGAAGAAAAAAAAAGATTTAAATTATGGTATCACTCTCACGATATATATATATATATATATATATATATATATATATATATATATTTGTATGAAAAATTACTGCGTGATCTTATAATGAAAAGAGAGAGAGAGAGATACATAAAATTAATTGTACTATAATATTTTATTAAATATATTTTATTAATAAATTATACATAATACTTTAATATTTAACTAGAAAGATAAAAAGATTTGATTCAAAATAAAGAATTTTGTGGTAAAAAAACAATGGCAGGTCTCTCTAAAAAAAAAAGAGAACGTTTTAACAGAACACTTTACGTTTCAACGAACTTGCATGCATTTATAATAAATACGATGCAGTTATATATGCATTCATTGAGCGGATATGGCATACGCATTCGCCGTGCATCAGTAAATGAATTGGTTCGACAGAGACAGACGAGCAACATAGCGAAAGAGATAAACACGATGGACACGATATGCATGCCGTTTAGACCACCGTAGAATGCGGATAGGGATGAGGAAACGGGTGCCTCCCTCTTCTCTTCTGCGTGTGGCGTTCACTTCTCGCGATCTCTTTGTCCGATGGTTAGTGCTCCTTTGTTCGGCTCGTGTTTTCGGGTCATCCTAGAATTTGCCGCTGAATTGTTGGCTCGCCGAGTTTCGGTTCCTATGCCACACCACGAAACCGGCGGACGCCCACGAAAACCAGCGATTTCGGTACAACATCGTTTGTTCTCTCCACCGTTTGTCGGTCGTTTCGGTCCAGGACGCATGAGATCGAGTTTTAAACCATGAGTTAGCTATGGGAATAGTCGACTAGATGGCTTTAGTTTGATTGCGGTGTACGGTTACGAAGAATTAATCTTGGAATTAATCTTCTTTTACCAGTTTCTTTTTTTTAAGTTTCTTTTTTGTGTAACTGCAGAATTTGATATACGTATGTGCGAATGTTACGCACAAAAGAATGTCGCCAATCGCGAAAATAATCATTGAAAACACAATAAAAGACGCTATTAATAATAAAAACAATAACTCCCAAATCATCATCGACTCGAAGTTGATGAGATAATACTAGCGTGAAATTACTAACGAATATTAACGCGTCAGTTACAATTGCAAACCAATCATATAAAGTCACTCAACGTCGCATTTATAGCTAATAATGTGATCCATCGGTGCGGTATCAGCTATTAAATTCGATATCTTTTACGATTCTGATTTAAAAGCCCGTCCAAAATCGCTTCGCGACAGTTGGAGCAGAACGTAGCGTGAAGCAGCTTGAATCAAATTTTTCTCGAGGTGACTTCAACAATCACGTCATGGGATCCCAACGAGCTATTCGAATTTTCTTGCTGCTGATGGTGATTCAACTTTGCTGCGAAATTTTGCTAGCCAGGAACAGCGAAAAACCTGATGTTATAATCGGAACATTAATAGGAAAGTCTAAATATTCGGGTAGAAAATATGACCTAGACGATGATACAGGAGATTATTATGATACGCAATATTTTGATGATGATGATTTTGATGCACACACAATAAAGCATTCGAATAATACGGCCAATTTGAGACTATTGTCGGATCATAGAGTACATTCGAATTCTGATCCACATGTAACCAAAGTGCCGGCAAGGAGATCTCAATTCTTGGATAGCGAACACAGAGACAATTTAAGACAATTGTCGAATAGGATGCAATATTCGGAATCTGATCCACATGTAACCAAAGTGCCGGCAAGGAGATCTCAATTCTTGGATAGCGAACACAGAGACAATTTAAGACAATTGTCGAATAGGATGCAATATTCGGAATCTGATCCACATGTAACCAAAGTGCCGGCAAGGAGATCTCAATTCTTGGATAGCGAACACAGAGACAATTTAAGACAATTGTCGAATAGGATGCAATATTCGGAATCTGATCCACATGTAACCAAAGTGCCGGCAAGGAGATCTCAATTCTTGGATAGCGAACACAGAGACAATTTAAGACAATTGTCGAATAGGATGCAATATTCGGAATCTGATCCACATGTAACCAAAGTGCCGGCAAGGAGATCTCAATTCTTGGATAGCGAACACAGAGACAATTTAAGACAATTGTCGAATAGGATGGAATATTCGGAATCTGATCCACATGTAACCAAAGTGCCGGCAAGGAGATCTCAATTCTTGGATAGCGAACACAGAGACAATTTAAGACAATTGTCGAATAGGATGCAATATTCGGAATCTGATCCACATGTAACCAAAGTGCCGGCAAGGAGATCTCAATTCTTGGATAGCGAACACAGAGACAATTTAAGACAATTGTCGAATAGAATGCAATATTCGGAATCTGATCCACATGTAACCAAAGTGCCGGCAAGAAGATCTCAATTCTTGGATAGCGAACACAGAGACAATTTAAGACAATTGTCGAATAGGATGCAATATTCGGAATCTGATCCACATGTAACCAAAGTGCCGGCAAGGAGATCTCAATTCTTGGATAGCGAACACAGAGACAATTTAAGACAATTGTCGAATAGAATGCAATATTCGGAATCTGATCCACATGTAACCAAAGTGCCGGCAAGGAGATCTCAATTCTTGGATAGCGAACACAGAGACAATTTAAGACAATTGTCGAATAGGATGCAATATTCGGAATCTGATCCACATGTAATCAAAGTGCCGGCAAGGAGATCTCAATCCTTGGATGGCGAATACAGGGACAATTTAAGACAATTGTCGAATAGAATGCAATATTCGGAATCTGATCCACATGTAACCAAAGTGCCGGCAAGGAGATCTCAATCCTTGGATGGCGAATACAGGGATAATTTAAGACAATTACCGAGTCGTAGGAGACAGTATTCGGATTCTGATTCGAATGTAGCCGAAGTACCGGCAAGAAGATTTCAATCCTCGGATGAGTTAAATGATTCGGATTATTTAGAACAATATTCGGACTTTTCTCCGCTTTTAGACTTGCGTAGCAGACAATTGCAAAGAAGGAATCTTGAAATATCATCAGGATTTAAATCTAAACATTCCGATGTCGAAGATACGGTTGTTCCAAAACAACCTTCGGATCATGAAAGACGATATTTGCATCCTGAAACTGCGTATGTAATTAGTCTGGTTTCAGCAAGAAAGTTACAAGCGCCGCAAAAATCTTCCCTTCAAACATTCGAATATCTTGATTCTGACTATGCTCAACAGTCAAATATTCAAGAGAACCTGAGTCCTGCGGTAGAATCTACAAAATTGAACGTGAAGGATACGGATTTATTACCGCAAGTCTTTTTTAATGATCCAAAAAATCCGAAACGTTTTCATGAAGATATAATAATTGCATGCCCTAAAGGAACGCAGTTTGTAGTCGATCGTTGTGAACCAATTTTCTATTCTGAAAATGCCAGTGCCAAAATCAAGAACATTATCCGTAAATCTGATACTTATTTAGACGATTACGATGAGAATAAGTAGAGATATTGCACGGATAATCCACTGTAAATAAGAAGAATAGAAATATTGTAGAGTTACTAAGATTTCGGAAAAGAGTGATCGTTGTAAAAATATTATTGAATTAAAAGTAGCTAAACACTACATTTTTTTAAAATTAAAATTAGATCTATTCTCTCTTTTATTTCTACTTTATTATAAATTTATTTACATTAGAAATTAGAATTATATTTAACGATGAGACAAATCAGAGAAATTTTAGAGAAAACAATAATTTCATATTTCGTACAATTATATTTTTTATCACAAAACGAACTAATGAGATAATAATTCATCGATAATTACCGTGTACACAAATTTTCTTCCATACTTTGACAAATAAATAAAAAAAATGTTTAATTTACACGTACACACACAAATTATTTTCCCATTAAAATATGATAATAATAATTCTAAGTAATAAAAATATTACATTATAGTATATAAAAATATTATATATTTTATTATAAGTATTATATATTAATAAATATATTAATAAATATATTAAAAATATTATATAAATTTTATCATATTATCTTATTCATTAATTCTTACTAATATTTCGCAAATATCTTCCTCTTTCTTTCATAAAACCGCTCGGTTCTATCATTACTCGGTTTATGCAATATGCTACACGATAATAAGTCCACAATACAAACATATCGTTTCAAGATTAATCTGCACGTGTAAATGTATTCGGATGTGCACACCATTCTGCAAATTGCTTCACGAAACATGTCTTTCGCGTCGTTACGGGATTTGCGGCTGAATTATAGAGGAGAAGGACGAGGAGGAGGAGGAGGAGGAGGAGGAGGAGGAGGAGGAGGCGGCTTCCACAGGAGGTGCCGAGGAGAGCCGGTGATATCTGCAAACTACGAACTGCCGAAAGGCGACTTTATTACAATAGCGCGGGAGCTGTAAGAGAACGAGAATCGTAATCTTTGGATCGACGTGTCACGGCTTGGTGATTGTCGTTAGATGAAAGAGGAACTTTATAAAAACGAGTTCTTTTCGTAGAGTTATCCGATTGAACTCCTACTTCCTCGACTTACTCGGGTACTTCCGTTCTTCTTCTCTCTTTTTCCTTTCTCTCTCATCTTGTTCTTTTGCCAGAGAACTTCCTACCGCATTCTCTTGGCTGGATAAACAATACGTGTAATGCACTTCTTTGATTCTATTATGTGGACGTTTTCTATCACACAAGTTTTATAAGTGTTGCTAAATTAAAATGATATTAGATCTGGATATTTTTTAACTCTAATTGCAATTTACTATTTAGAAAAGATTTTATGAGTTTTACTATTTTGAAATAGTAAAACTCCACATTTACTAAATCTCCACATTTTCACAGAGCTCTCAAAATAATTGTGGACATGCATTTTAATATATACACCTTGTTAATTGTATTCTGTATTTAATCCTTGTAATACGCTGCGTATGAGATACATATTTTATTATTTTAAAATATAATAAAATATAAATAAATAAAATATAATAAAATATAAAAATAAAATATAATAAAATATAATTTTTTTTAATTTATATCGATTTGCATTAATGATTTTGATTATCTTTATCCGTTTAGCAGGTACGAAAATGGACGCCGAGGCAGCATTGTTGGAAAATTCGCCGACTTTGTCGACGATCTCGTCGGATTCCACGGACGCGACGTATTCCGGACCCGGCTCGCCCTATTCCCCGGAATCACCGATCATTGTCACGTCCTCCTATAAAAAAAAGCGTGACGATGAAGTCACACCTAGACCAACGCCCAGACATCTATCCAGGAAGCCAAGCTTCCGGATACGACCGCCCTACCTCATGATCTGCATCAGTATCATCGAGGTGAGTGAATGCCGGATGTGATAAATAATAATGTAATTACAAGATGGCATAATAATTATCGACATATCATCTGCATTAGCATCATTAAGGTGAATGAATTCCGGATGCGATCAATAATTACATAATTGACGTAATAATTACCGAACACAGGAGCATCTTGTATCTTTAAATCACACTTGATAACAGTAATTATTTATAAAAACATACCTTTTCTTTTTCTCTTGCATTAGGTTGTCTCATGCATTTTGTCTTTTTTTACAACGTCTTCATATTTCTATTATGCTCGTGCAACTGCTGTTCTAGCTGAAAAATAAAACTCGCCGTGGAAATATATTACAGACATTCCGGCGGATGCAAGTCGAGCGGAAAAAAAAAATGGTCGCAAAGCGTAAGCTTGAGGATTTCTCATTAACAGAACCAACCGTGTCGTGTTGAGTTCTCGAGCGAGGACGAAAGGAAAGCGCAATGGGAATCCTTCCCAATTATACGCGCGAATTCACCAGAGAATATCCCAGAACGATATCCCGAGAGATATCTGATGGCGAAAACTCCAAAAAGTGCGGAATCTCTTCGTGGCCTTTTTGCTCGATAATAATCTCGGAAGCGCGCGCGCTTCATTTTGCATTTCAGCTGGAAAATGAATAAGCAGCTACGGGTACGCGCAATAAAAATGCGCGAATTTAAAACCGCAAAGTTATACCGCAATTTCTTACTCGTTTTACCGCGGAATACGACGAAAGTTAATCACTTAGCTGCATTCTTTTTTTTTTTTTTGACTCGTTGCACGGGTCGCCGCGGAACGAGATCAAAGAGAATGTCCATTACAGATGCTTCTACAGTCCAAACTCATTTTGCAAAAAGATATGAGAAAATTAAGTATAAATATATTCTTTCATGCACGCAATTTTTGGAGTTTGCGGTTGAAAATTTATACTGTATCATAAATGTTATTTTCACGTTTAATTAATATTATTGAAACAGTAACGTTATAATTTCGCAGTCGACAATTAATTCTTTTGTGAAAGCAATTATTTTAATTTTAAAATTAATATCATACAGGTTGGTATAAAACGCTGAAAGCTCGAGGCAATAAGCAAATATAATTTTATAGAATATTTGAAAAAAAGATCCAATTGAAATTAATCATTTTCCGATTGCTGTATTGATATAAAATATAGAAATAAAATAAAATTAGATGCGATAAAATTATCTCTGATGCTCATATAAAAAAGATAATCTTGATTAAGAAAATTTAAAAATTTATGGAGAGAAATTATGGAGAAGAGTATAAAACGGAATATACATACAAATTTCGTTCCCATGCCAGTATGCTAAAAAATATCATAACTCTTAAAATATTTTTAAAATAATCAATAAAAATATCAATAAAAAATATCATAACTCTTAAAATATTTTTAAAATTTGACGTGAAAGAAAATTTAATATAGATTTATATAAAATAAAATTGTGATAATTAGAGAAAAATAGTTTTAGATGAAAATATTTAAAGTATTAAATTAATTTCTAATTTAATAATTATATATATAAAATGTCATCTGACTAAATGAGGAACATGTTATGAACAGCGAGTTTCAAAACGGCTCAACGAGCCATCTGCACGTACGCTTTTATAGATAGAGAAATGAGAGAGAGAGAGAGAGAGAGAGAGAGAGAGAGAGAGAGAGAGAGAGAGAGAGAGAATTTAATTGCGCACTTTGTGTAGTTTAAAGAAATGCTGAAAAAGTAGCGATATTCGAAAAAGATTGATTTTTTTCAGACTCACATATACATCAATGTCCGAGCTGGGAAATTTTACTTGCGAAGAATTATTCGCGAACACGTGCGCTAAAGTATGTAAACCTAAAACCGCGGAATTAAAGGCGGCTACTAATTCACGACCGCAGTCCGTGAATTTCAACTTTATCGCGGCAATATTGTTTGGTGAAAACTCGCTTGTTGCAAGTGGAAGATATAATTTGTAATATACGAGACAGCGTGTGTAAACACACGTTTGAGAATACACGTTGAGGCTCTTTGCACTAAGGATGGAAACGGAGAGCGTCGGTGGCATTTTGCGCGATAAAAAGGAACGAGCTGTAATATTTATCGTCTCGACGCGATTCGCCTTCGCGAATCGTTTCTCAAAATTTAAAGAACTTTGCATTCGGAATACAGTAGAGGTGTAGAACAATAAATGGAAAGAATGATAAAGCTATTACATTTCATCTCTCTTGAATAAAATTTATATAAATAATCTGCGTATGTCTACGAATAAAAGATTTTATGTACGCATTTTGATGATATAAATAGATAAGTAATTACCTTTTTTAAAGAAGAAAACAGCTTTAAATGTTTTTTAATTTGTAAAGAAGATTAATGAGTTTTGGTGCCAGGAAATTTCTGATAATTACATATAATCATACTATTATATTACTTAATCGAAATCGAGTGATATAATATAGTGATATGATTATATACTCCTGGACAAAATTAACGCATAATTTTTTTTTATCTTTTCTTTAAAATTTTTCATTAAAATTTAAATATCAACTTTTAAAGAAAAAGTGAAAAAAATTATGCGTTAATTTTGTTCTAGGAGTATACATATATAATTATCAGAATATGAAAAGGAGTGACCCGTTATCAGCAGAATGATGGGTTTCGTGAATTTCATACAAGTTTCTATAATGATATGACGGAACATTAATTGGCGCTTCAAATGCATAGACTCAAAATTAAATTCATTCCTTGTACGCGCATACGAGCCCGCAGAAACTGCTCCTCTGCTCTTAACATGACAAGGCCGCCAAGTATGTTAAAGGAAGATAGCGTAGGAGAATGAAACTGGATAGATAGATGATGGTTCTTAATGTGTAATGAGCTCGAAGTGAGAAGCAAAATGGAAGAATAAAAACAGTAAATTCCACTCCATAACATTCTCCAGATCACCGAAAATAGATTTAACATCGTGATTATAATCCACAATGATATGAATATAATATTGATTTTTGCCGAATTGATGTTTCGATTTTTAAATAAAAAAAAAACAGAAGCAAAATTCGAGGAAAATATGTTTTAAGAAAGAAAGAAAAGAGACGATCATGCAATACACACGTGATATTATTACTTAAAATGTGTAAAAATATATTTAAGATACTTAAATAACTAAATTGATATTACTCGAAATATTGAGCACTTAATTGTGCTAATTCCCGGCTTGTAGAAAAATCAAAAGATGCTCGAGATTTTTGTTAAGAGAAAAATGTGTCAGATAATAATAGATTACATGACGCGTTCAGATTGACAATATTCTTGTGCATAGAAAGGATACGATTTGAGACACGATTTGACGACGAAATCGTGAATCGTGAAGCGAACGCATATTCGCGGCTTCTCGAATTCGATTCCATGTGAGACAAAGTCTTCTTTATGTTTAACTTTTAGGTGACGTGAACGTATTTCTCACTTTTACGGGGAATATCGAGATTCAACTTGGAACCTCCCTCGTGTCCCACCACTTTATTGCACTCCGAGCTCCGAGTAGACGATAGCTGAAACTCGTAAAACAAACCTCTGTGATTTGTGTATCGCTTGTTGTCTGACACGGTGATCATTCCAAACAGGTTATCCAGGTTCAATCAAACTTTTGGGGAAACCATTGATTTGGCATTCTCTTTCTCTCTCTTCAATACCATAAAATGTCATAGTATTTGAATAGAATAAAAAAAAATAGTAAAAATAGAGAGTAAAAATAACTGTAAGCTTTCTTACGTAATTTAATTAATATTCTTGCAATTTTTTTATTTTCATGTATCTTAAGGAATTTAATTTTGAGATAATTGATTACGTCAGATGTATACAATTTTGCAATTTTACAAACATTTTATACATATATATATATAATATATTTAATATATTTAAAAATATTATATAAATATCAATTGTATACACAATTTTGTGGTTACATTTAATTTAAATATATTTGAGTAAATATTTATTTTTATACATGTGTGAATAAAACGTTCGCGCAATATTTAAAAAAAGTTATAATAATAATTCTTTTTTATTTATTTTCTTTCTGTTTACATTTGAAAAATATTACATTAAAATCCTGTTATACTTGGATTAATATCGCAAAATAAATTTAAATAATATCGCAAATATATCGCAAAATTATACTTCAAATACTAATCAAATTTCTTCGCACGATATATTCCAGCGTGCCGCGAATGTCGATATTCGCACCGCATCACGTGAATACTACGGGAATATTACGTTCTTCTTTTCTCACACCTTAGGAAAATGAAATTCCAATGTTGTAGGGGATGCAGACATCTCTATAATTACGAACTTTGACCAGAGTTTCCGAATGCACTTTACACACACATACACACACACACACACACACACACACACACACACACACACACACATACACAGGCAAATACATACACACGTCATACAACCAATTATACGGGCTGCTGCAAACATTTGCTTAGAATTCAGAATTAGAACGCCGTATTGGACGAAATCACTGACTGTGACCGCACCAGGCTGACACATGGTGCGCTTAACAATAACCATCCGATGTTGTTCGCCCTTCACTTGAACAATCCTCCTTTATTTTCATTTGCAAGGGAATTTGGAATGACATAATTGAATCATCATTAAATAACAAGACAACTGAAATAACGTAGTGGGTTTAAAATAAATAGTTATATAATTTTTCTGAAAAATTGTTATGTTTGAATATCTGTCATTTATTTATGATGAATATTTATGATTAATTACAATCCGTAACATAATTGAGATAATATTTCATTGAGTTGGAAAATTATATCGTTCTATTTATTTAACAGTGTATGTAGTTCGCTACTTTCATACCGATATTTTATTAAAATCTTGGAACGTATATCATAGATGAAATAATTGAGAGAGAAATATTTTAATGTTTTAAAAATACTTTTCTTACTTAGGATATTAGCGTTATTTTCTAAAAAAAATAAAGCGCGATATAAATAAATATTTAGTTCCTAGATTTTTAGATATTATTTATCGCTTATAAAGAAAATATTGTGAAAAGAAATTGTGAATCCCAGAGTTAATAGCATCGTGCAGCATAATTTCACACTCGCGAAAACGGCAGAATTTAATCAATCTCATTCGACTGTGCGTGTAACACAGACACATTATCAAATGAAAATATTGTTACGCGACAGATGTGACGGGAAACGATCATCTGGAGCGAGGTAAACGCTGCGCTGCCGCGTTTTAAATTCCCGAAAGAGATACCCGTCCGGAGATGGAGAGCGTAAAAGCGCATTAAGCGCGAAACGGCGCCGAAATCTAGACGGAGAGGTAAACGGTCGTAAAAACTGGGGGGACCGTCGGGATGGGAATAGCCGGGCAGAGAGGTATCCAGGGCCAAGCACTCCGAAAGAGCGGCGCACCTGCTGACACGTGTGATTTACCGGCGGGAATACCCTCCCCCTTCCCCCCTCCCGCGCGCGCATTTCATGCAACGTCGTGGTACATGGAAGAGGAAAAAAAAAAAGAGCGATAGTCGTTAAGGTATTATTTCCGGTCACTCCTGCGCGCGCGCATGCATCCGCCGCTCTTTATTACGATTACGATATAAATTCCGGATAAAATCGGATGAGCAAGTTATTAAACACGCTGATAAATTGCACGCCCCGACCTACGTCCAGGTGACAAATATTTTGCGGAGCGCGCGATTAATATTGAACGGGAACTCCCGATATCGATGATGAACATACACAGGGGACGCTTAATAGGCTCGCTGGATCTTCGTAAATCATTGTGATCGATAATGCGATTGATCCGGTATTTGGTATGGCTCAATCGCAAGGTGTTATACGATATTGTATTATGTACATTATTGTACAATTTATCACGGTACGGTGATACGAATTTATGATCGTTTGGAAAGTTTAGGCAAATTTATTAAATTTTCGTTCAATGCTTTAAAAAAGGGAGAGTTTATTTTATGTAAAAAAAAAATATTAATTAATTAAGCAAGATTAAATTATATTTTAGAGAATTGCAAAGTTTAATTATATTAATTAATATGTTGTGTATCTTTAATAAATTATAATACAAATAGAGATATAAAATAGAGATATAATACAAATAGAGATATAAACTTTATAATCCTTTATTTAAAATACAAATATTGAGATATATTCTTGTAGAAACATAAAATTAAGTGTAAAGAAAATTAAGTGTAAAGAAAATTAAGAGTTTCGAGTCAGCAATTATTTTAAATTTTATATAACTTGTTTTAACTGAAGGAACAAGCATTTTTTTTTTATGTAAGACTCCCCGACGATAAAGATACGTGTAATACGTTTTCTATCTCGACGGAGGAAACCAGAGAAGACCATTTTACTTCCCGAAGAATTAAGTTTCGTTAAGGAAATACCTGGCGCACCAGTATTTTCACAGAATCTGATATAATGTTTAATTTGTGTGTTACTGTATCTTTATTTAGCTTCTAAATACATACTAATCTAAATCGCTTCTCTCCAAAGGATTATGAGAAATCTGCGTAACATCGAAAAGTGTACACAGTATAATATACATTAAAACACAATTAAACATTATATTAATAATATCACAAGCTCTAATTTAATGATAACAACTATTTTAGCAATAAAAAAAGTTACACACATTATTACACAATTCAAATATAAAATAAATAATAAGATAATAGATAATAAAATAAAATAATATAAATTAAACGATAAAGTAGATATTACATTATAGTGAAAAAATGCATACAAATTTATGTGTGAGTGCATAAAATGATATTTGGTACATGTATACACACACACGCAACGAATATTTCATTACTGCGCACGTAATAGAATTTAACAGAAACATCGTCAATCACAATTAATTTCATCTCTAGCATCTCTGGCACGTCTGTCCACGGTGACGTATAATTATTTCCGTATTCTTGAATATTGCGCTTTTCCGCCATACGAGTTTTCCGCGACAGAGGCGGGAAAAGGCGCATTAAACGTGCTTTCACTCGTAACAGATAACCGTCCACTGCCTGGGAGACGAGGCGACGTTACGGAGATGGCTGGTCTACGATCCCCGTCAGAGGGTGCAGGGTTGGAGGTTCGCCTCCTACATGCTACTGCACTCGAACGCACTTCACCTCGCACTCAACGTGGTCATTCAGCTGGTCTTGGCCACTCCACTCGAGGTGAGCCAATCAAGTAAATTGCGGGAACGTCGTTCAACTGGCCGATATCGAGACACCGCGTTTAAGAGACAGCGAAAACCTCTCTTTTCGATTGCGAACCTTTTTGTCCGCAATTAGATCGGATAATATTCGTATATACGACAGATTAAATCGCTCTTATCGTACGCGAAATATATTTCGAAGCAGATAAATACGCGAAAGCATATTTTTAGAAGATTTTTTTTAGAAAGATAATGACGTTTACTCGGATATAATTATATGATTATGATAAGGATAATATTTTGTTAACGATATATGCTTTTCGAAAATTTCTTAATTTTAGTTTCTTGATTATCTTTAATTAACTATATTTTTTATAAATTTTATAGTTATGTATCTCTTAAAAATTAAGAAATTTGCTAAAAATGGAATAGATTAGTTTGATTTTCTGACAAGTTTATACATATTTATTATATCAATACAAATATTGATAAAAAAATGTTTTGATAAATTAAACATATATATTATTATTTTTTATGTTGTTACGCAATTCGTACCAACAGCAGTTACGCATAAATAAAATTCTCAAATAAGATTTCTATTACTTTATCGCGTCTGAAAATATTTTTCCGTCAGCTATTCAACAACAAATTATTTTTGTGAGAACTTAAATAATAGAGGTTGTCATAATTTCATACTTGTAAATGGACAAGAGATTTTTGCACAAGCAGATAAGGACCGTGAAAAATTCATGGTTGCAGGTGGAACAAGGACGAATAGGGGTAGCGACAATCTATTTGGGCGGTGGAGTTTGCGGCGCCCTGGGAGCGTCGCTTCTGCAACCCAGTCTTTACTTGGTCGGCGCTTCGGCAGGCGTTTATGCACTGCTCACGAGTCATCTTGCTCATCTTTACCTGGTAAGCGCGGCAAAAAGTTTCTCCATCTCTAAGAACACGAATCCCAACTCACATAAGCCGCCCGTCCGTTTGCTCGTTAAAAATCCGTTGCGTGTGTAGTATAAAAAAATAAAGAAGACCGAAGACTACAAAAAAAAAGATGTTATATTAAAAAGTGTTGTTTAGCACGAGAAATGTTTTCGCTCGAGATATTCTATTTAATAATTGAAATCGTGAAAAACGTGATAGGAAAATGTCCGATAAAATATTTACATTCCAAGTTTTTTCCGATTACATTAATTGCTTCAAGAAAATATTGGAATTATATACTTTTTTGAATTCATTAAAACTGAAATTTACAGACTTTTAGCTTATATATACTTATATAACTTTGTATATTTGCGAGTGTATATATAATTTTGGAATTTTTTGCTCAGACTTCTTTTTTAAATGTCCAGTCTATTTTAATATGATAAATGGAGAGAGATGATTTTTAGAAGCTTTTGGAAGAATATTAAAAATTGGTGTTTTTAGAATTTTTTTATTAGTATTTAGATAGCATTACAATTTTTAAATCGATTCATTAAAGCGTTCACAAGTTATAAGGATTTTAATTTGCATTGAATTAACATGTGTTCTTATGAGAAATGTATAATCACGTCGATTTAAATGACAAAAACACATGGAAATAATATTCAGAATTTGTTTAAAATTTGCAAAAATTTAGATACAGAGGAAATATTTGGTCAAATAATATTATACAAGTTCTATCTGGTTAAAAAGGTATTAAATATAATGTAATGAAGTCAGCCATGTATCTGTTACAAGGCGAAATTCTCTGCCAAAAGTTAATCATTATTTTACAAAATATATAATAATAATAATAATAATAATAAATAATAATATTCGATTATATTACAAAATTCGGAATTTAGTAAAAACGCAATAAATATTAAAAAATACATCTCTGCACTGTAAGATCAAATTGTAATATTCCACACAATTTCTCATATTCAAAATACACCAAAAATAGACATATTCGTCAATTGATTTTCAGCTACTTTTTGCTGGGATTGTACATACAAAGCATTTCCTAAACATCAATAAAAACATAAAACGCTGAAAGATCAATTTTTTAATATTCTTTACAAAAAAATATTTCTAAAAATCATTAATCTTCCATACCGCTAGAGTGGGCTAGACCCTTAAATAAGAACAGTCGAAATTACGCGCACCCCGCTCGTATACAAAAGCTACACGAGCCGATCGTGTGGCATCCTTTTGTTTCTCGTTGATTTCAGTGCCACGGCGAACTACGCTACGCGGGTTGGCGTCTCGGCGCCGTATTGTTGTTGGCCGGCGCGGATGTCGCGTCGCTGCCCATCCCGGCGTTGCTCGGATGCGGCCGGGTCGGCTGGGCGGCACACGTCGCGGGCGCGCTGGCGGGTCCACTTTTGGGTCTGGCCGTGTTCCCGAACCAGAGCAAGAAGGACGCCCGTGGGCGCAGATTCGTGCGATACGTGCGGCTGCTGTCGGCCGTGAGCGTGATGCTGCTGATCGTCGGCGCCGTCCTCGGCAACGTCTACCTAATCGCCCTGCCGCAGCTCAGGAAGCCGTCCTGACAGAGGATCGAGATGCTCGTCAAGCTCTGCAGACGGTCCTTCCTGATCGTCAAGATCCGGGAGGCCGCCGAGAGTGTATTCGAGTAGAGGATCTTAAGGACCGGGAAAAAGAACGGATAACGTGGGAACGAACTGAACGTCGATCTGCCAGGTGAATCTTTCCGCTCTCGAATCTCGCACGGATCCCGTGCAGTCAAATCTGTCTATTACGTCGGTCTATTACGAACGCGATCGCGATTTCGGCAGACGCGCGTGAAAGTTTCTCCGGAAGGGAATCGCACGATCGATACGCCAAGATGCTTGTAAAGAGACTCGAGTGAAAATTCGCGCTCGGCAAGTTGGTAGAACAAATACCAAAGATCAACAATTTTTCGTCGAACTCGTTCATGCTACTCGCTGCCATTAGAATCTTTAGACTCTCGAAGAGTCGCTCGATGAAATGTGCGGTAGAACGATGGGGTACTTTAAAGTGAATATAAATTGTGACTCTTCGCGTCTCCGATAACTTTGATAAATTTGATATTACAGATACTATGGAGGTAAACGTCGCAACTTTTTTACGGACAGGTAAAACGTTTCAAACTGCCGATTGTAACTTTTCGATAGGATCGAATTGTATATGATTAATACTTAGCGATACGATATGTAATAATTTCTCGTTATGTCAATCTCGCTATTATTGGCGACAAAAAAAAGAGACTATGAAAGTGTGGCATGCGTGTATAATAAAAATAAGAGTAATTATATAACACACAATTTAAGATGGCTGAAACGATGCGTATGGACGGTGGCAGGTGAGTTTGCCCTGCGATGGGGACGAATTAAATTTTATTAATAGAAAGTGGAGAGCGAATTTATTTAAATAAAAATAGAGAAATACAGGATATTGTTATGGCTCGCGTGAGAATAAGAATCACGATTCCGAGTATATTAATGCTAGTACATCGCTAACAATGTTGGGAGAACAAGATGGAATACCTTCATCCTTTCTATTATTCGTATTAACGATTTAGCGTGTATGAGATATGTAAGAAGGTGTATAAAAAAAATAAAGCGATCACACAATATATTATTAACGTAAACGTGTTATGATATAACGAAGATTTTAATAATGGCAAGATAAATGTATCGATCGTTAATAAAGCAAAGTTTAACAACATGCGACTGACTTTAAAAAGCGAAAATTACGTAAATCTCGAATAAGCTAATTTCGCTGCTGTAGAGATATACGACATCGTAATCTTGAATTTGACGTTATCAGCTAATGTAGAGCGAGAGGGTAACGAGATGTGCAAAATAAATTTCTTCACATTAAACCACAGTCCTGCCATATTTCCCGATAGATGTCCAAGAGCGAGAGCCAATCTCTTTTATATAGCGATAATCATAAAGTAAAGATAATCGCGTTTCTATCTACGAAGCTGTAAAACTTGCAGAATATTTCTAGCGTAGTGTCTTTGTAATCACGATGTGAAGTGGTCGTCATGGATTCGTGTGTGTTCAGATTCAGAAACGTTCATCAATTTTCTTACACCCCCGTGCTGTTTTTTCTCCGCTTAAATTTAATGATTAATGCATCGTACCGAGCGATAATAGATATCGTCGTTAAAGCTTGAATTAATACACAACTCGATTAAACTCGCTTAAACTCGTGCTTGTCGGAATTTTTTAACAAGCAAATCGACAAAAGTAAGGAACTCGCGATAACGCGTCTCGTGTCTCGTTTCTTTCGAATAAAAGTCACATTTAATAAGCAATATAATTCTTGCTCGATTCTTAATTGAATATATTTCCATTGTGTGTGGGGTCGTGCATCTTTAAAGGGATTCCGTGGCGTGTCGCATTTTTTGAGATTTTCAGTATTTCAGATATTAGGGTGAACATTTTTATTGCGCGCGCTATCAAAGAAATTTATTGGTGCCGAGATGGATTGTGGCGTGTAACGCACGCAAGCATGTAACGATATAGAATGAAAAGAATTATATATATGTGCGCGGAGAAAAAAATAATGTGTTCTCCTTCAGGCAATTAGTAGTATACCTACTTGTTTATCAATGTTACGAGGCAAACTGGCTGTGATTATGTTAGTGTTGTCGTCGACACAATTACATTATGGAACCTTGTAAATAGGAATTATTAAATATATAATTACGTACATATACATACATACATACATACACACACACACACACACACACATTCGTACTGTGATTCGCCGCGAGTACATGTAATGAGGTCCCCTCCCCGTTATTTCCATTGTATATCGAAACAACCGATTGCCTGCAATAAAGTCGAATGAATCGTATGATGTTTCATGATACGACCTGCAATCTCCTATCGAAATATTCTCCTCTCTGCGTTCGCATTATTAAAACTGTTCCCATTCGATATGCGCCATTATTATTCCGTTTAATAAACGCAAGCATGCTGTTTCAAAGATTAAAGTTAATTAGATTGGCCATTATTTTGTGTTAATTACGATTAAACAGCACACCGCCCCTTTTACCAGAGATATTCATCTTCTCAGGCAATTTCTGATGTGTGTATATTAATCATATATATTTTAATAACATAATTGTTACTCAACATTATACTCAACATGATGTTTGTTTCGCATTAAAATAATCTTGGTAGAAAACTTATTTTTTTCAGAGGCATTGAAAAAATGTTACATTTATTTGAAAAACTAGGTAAATTCATGTTAAATATATCCCACTATACTTTATGAAAGAAAGAGGAGTGAAAAGAAAAAATAAGAAGCTGAAAATTAAAGTGTGGGATGATGTATAAAAGTTTATTACATTGGGTTATATGTATAAAGTACATAAAGCCTCTATGCGGCATTCAAAATGGAACCTGTCAATTTTTTTAAAAAATCGGTTTAGGTAAAATAATATATTATCGATAAATATAACGCGCGATGTTTTTCCTTAAGAAGAGCGAAAGATTTTATTGTTTCGTAAGGTTTGCGATAAAATTTTTACGCTCTTCAAAATGATATTATAAGAATATATAAGGAAATCGCGAATTTTCTCTTCGAGAACGCGAACGCTTGCAAAAATATGTTGCGACACATAAAAGAGAAAACTAATACTAATAAAACTAAACACGAAATATTTAATAAACGCATCGTTTTATATAAATCACAATACACCAAGCAATCTTACGACTCTCGATATAATATAATAGTTATAACGATAGTTATAAAATACGAAATTTAACGTACTTGCATTTCATAACATCTGCTTATTATTTTTAATGTTCTTCCCTCTCTCTCTCTCTCTCTCTCTCTCTCTCTCTCTCTCTCTTTCTCTCTCTCTTTCTTTCTTTAACTACGGCGATTCAAAAAATAAACTTAAAAATAATGCATATAATATTAATTGAAACAAAACCTTTAAAATTACTTCAACATCATCTTCGTTGTTAACTGATTCATTCTGCTTATATATATGTATACATAATAGGCGATAATATAATTGTTCAATCAGTGATGCTATTGAGATCGTTATCATAACTTAAAAACTAAGTATTCTCTCTTAAATTGTTATTCAGGTTATTCACATTTACAGAAAATTGCAAAATTCTGCACAAGATAAGTTAGCTCTTCTAACATCAAATAACTTTTTCAATCAGATTCTAATATTTATTTGTGTTTGAAAGAGAAAAGAAAAGATCATTTGATTCGAAGTAGATTCAACTCGTGTAAGTCCACTTTTTTTTATCAACATTTTAATTTTGTATAAATGTTTATAAAAATTGATTGATAGTCGGCGTACAATAGTACACACCACAAATCTCATTAATCTACAAAAGACGTGTAATTTAGCAGGATAATTTGAATTTTGCAAGAGCATTTCTCTCTTTCCCTCTCTCTCTCTCTCTCTTCGCGTCTCAAATGATTATTCTCTCTTCTCCCCTACTGCCGTAGTATTCCACAACCGGGTATCTTTTGCATTCGGTTCAGTGAGATAAATTACGAAGATAAATCAAAACGACACCCCCTCCTCGCCATCTCTCTCAACCTGCGATATAGACGGATAATTCCCATTAAAGAGGAAAGACGGTCGGGGCGAACGAATACCGCGCTAACTTCCGCCTTCATCCACTTATTCTTCGAGGCACGGAAGAACTATTCCTCACAATTACATCCTGATCGATCCCGTCAGAACGTGGATTCTCCTAAGGCTTGCGTTTATGATCGTCGCGCGACGTCCCTGGAATAATACTCGCCGATACAAGGGAGAGAAAACGACGGACACGAAGGAAATTAGAAAGAGGAATCTGGGAATCCCGGGATAAGACGACGATCGCGGTGAACTATGAGCCGGATTACGGGCGATACCTCTAATCGAGGGAAGGATCAATTACGTGCCCGGAAAAGACGGAGGAAAATCACAGCTGACATTAATCAATTGATAAAAAGTCGCGAAACAAACGATTATTAAGGAAAAAGTATTCTCTACTTTCGAGTGTAATATCCAAGTTTTATTGCTACTTCTTGAAAACAGTGCTATGTGCGTATTAAAACTTTGCATGACCGAAGGCCACTAAATCTCTCCGCGCAACTTATACTTTTATTCCGTTTTAAACTTTGTTTTGAACGATATAATTCGACAAAGTTGTGTTTATAATTTTATATATTGCATAATGCGCAAGACAGATTTAAAAGGGTACAATATACGCAAAATATATGTATCGGGAGTTACATTAAGATGTAACGTATAAAATTATAAATAAAATTCTATTTTTATCGCGAATTGTATGTTTCAAGTCGGACTAAATTTTTCAAGTAAACTCTGTTAAATATATTTTTGGAAAATATTTCTATCCCTAAAGAGAATTATTCCCTCGAAATACTCTATAGGAATACTCTTCCATTAACAATTCCTCGGATCTAGCGCTTGAGCTTCATTAGTTTCTATACATAAACTCGCCTGCGCGCATGCAACCGCATTCGAGAGGAAAACTCGGAGACTACTGAGACTACATAATGATCCAACCAACGCGATACAAATACGCGCGCGGGTATTACATCCAGTTAGAGTAATCTGACCACGAACATCGGTGTCTCATTATCGAGGGTCATCGAGACCGAGTCTATCGGTTCTGCCTGGATAATTACATAGCCCAAGTTGTCCGAAGTTTTGGCCAAAGATTCATCGCACTGTCAGAGTATCTTAGCGGAAGATACAACAGCGGACCGTCTTGATAGTTCCAGATATTCGTGGTTTCGGACAGCATCTCTAATTATATCGATAGTGAAATATATTAAATTCTGCGGTCGCAAAGGTCGAAACTTGGAGAGAAACCGCAAGAAAAATTCCTGTCAACTATCTTTCTCTAATTTCATAAGTATGAGATATAAAAATAAATGCTACAATGATCCTTTGTCAATTCGTGTTTCGTAATAAAGCCACTGATTTCATCTGACAAGATTCATTATGATAGATTTCTTAGACTTTTAAACTTTGAAATTTTTTTGCAAATGCATATTAAATTATTTATATTTAAATATCGTTTCTTTTTCCAAATCTTAAAATATAATTTTCTATAAAGATTTTATTTTTTTTTTCACATACACACACACGCACGCAACATATTTCAAATATTATTTTGATCCCAAAAATACTGAATTTTCCATTATTATTATTAATCTTTATAGATTTCAGAATTGAACAGACGAAATTTAAAAAACGCAATTATATTGTACTAAATCATAAAATAGCTTTTTCATCGGAAATATCCTGTGCAACATATAAGCACTTTCAATATTTTCGACAGAACAGTCTTATTTTATTCTCGAGTATTCGCGAAACGTTTTCTTACGATGACGTTAAATCGGTACTCGATGCACGGAGGGAATCGGTGTCCGATCAACATTCTAACTGTTTGCACTGGACACCAATTTCCGTGCACCTGCACTCCATGCAAGGACTCGAGAGCTCCGTGATGATTCTACCGACGCGATACATTCGGCCGTATATATTGCAGCCCGCCAGCTTCAGCAAACTGCCCATGGACATTGGTATCTCGTTGTCGAGGACCTTCGAGGACGTCTCGACAGTTTTCATCTCCTCGGTTAACTTCTCCGCACTCGTCGATGAAGCAACAAGAGTGCTCTGACCCTCTCCTTCGCCATCCACCGAAGAAACATGCGATGT